TCTTTCTTTCTTTCTTTCTTTCTTTCTTTTCCCGTACTGCTGTCACTCTCGTGTCAGCTGGCGGGAAACCAACTCACTTCCTTCGTGGTACTAGGAATTATTTAATTGTGTTCAAGAAAAATGCAGGGCTAATTTTATTATATTAATTTAATTTCCTTATTTTTCACATCTTCATCCAATTACTAATTTAAGTGTTGATTACCCTTTTCTTTCAATTTTGAGTATTTGATAATAATAAACGTGATGTTAGTCAGAAAAGAACTTTTTTTTTTAATCTTAATTATATAATAAAAGTATTTTTTTTCATTATTTACTTCACTTTACTTATATGTAATATAATTTAAATTCATAATTTTTTATTTTTAATGAAAATAAATTATTATTAAATTATTTAAATTATTAATGATTTTTTTATAAATAAGGGTGTAGTATTTTAGTTCACACAATAAATTGATTAATTTTATGAATTAAATTACACTAACAAAATTAATTGTTGAAAATAGATTAAACATTGATTTGTTTAAAATAAAATAGTGAATTATTGTAGTAATATTAAACACTAACTATTTTTTTATTTCAATTATGTAATGAAAAGTAATTATCTCTCATTTTTTATTTTATTTCACTCACATATCATGTAATTTAAATTTAAAATTTTTTATTTTTAATAAAATAAAATAATTATTAAATTATTTAAGTGATTAACAACACAAATTAAATTAAGAAAGAAGAATGCACATGATAGGATAATAAAGCCAAATGAAAATTGAAAACGAAAATGTAAGTCCAAACAAGAAGGTACATATGTAAGTAGGCAGCCTAAATTTCCGTTCCGTTTGGGAATAGTTTTAACTGTAGTAGTACTTAAATTAAAGGGTTGTCCATTACGGAAGATTCTCTAATTTTTCCGTTTTTGTTGTTCCTTTCGCCCACGTTGAAAATAATTGATTTTAGAGCGTTCTTAACGATCATATAACCTCTCAAGAATTAAATGTAAAGGTAAATAAGAGTCATTTTATAAGATAAACTTTAAAATTTAAATTTTAAAGTTAATATTTAAAATTTTAAAATTTTAAATATATATAATTAATATAAGAGGTATATTTTTAAAATCACTCAAAATAATATTAATTTTAAAAAATATAAAATTTAATTTAAAAATTTCCAATTATAAAAGAAAAATATATTTCACATTAACATAATATATTTTAAAAAATTAATTTTTTAAATACCATATCAATACAATAGTTGACTTCTTAGTCAATTCAAGCAATCAATTTTTGCACTAGGGCAATTTTTTTTCTAATATTCCCTCTAGGCTACATGGGTTGTAAAGGGTTGTCAAGAATCAAACATCAAATGTAGGTAGTGTTTTCACTAAAAGATAAGTAACTGACCCTTTAACTCAAGCGTCCGTCCAAGAATAATTCAAGGAATCAAACTTTAATGCTTTTGGTGGATATGGCAATAGCAGAACTCTCAAATTTACTTTTAAAAAAAATATCGACAGGGATGCATTTATTTTTTAAAAAATAAATGAATAAATTATCATTTTAAATCATAAATTACTATAAATTATTTATTTTTTTAATGTTTTTTGTTAAAAATACTAACGTGATAAATGAAATTTTGATATTTTTTTATTAAAAAAGATGTGATTTGTATTTATTTGTGATGTGAAAGGTAGTTTGTCCTTTCATTTTTTTAGGGATAGATATGTCCTATCGATATTTTTTAAGAGTGAATTTAAGAGTTTTGCCTATAACAATGGTTATGATCAGGAGCGGAGGCAGAAATTTTCTTTAGGGGGCAAGATGCTAAAACTTTCAAAGTTCAAAGGGGGTTAAATAATTTTTCATATACTAATTATATACTGATTTGCAAGACTTTCAAATTTTAGGGAGGCGAGCGCCCCCCTCGCACTCTCTGGGTCCACCACTGGTTATGATCATGTAAATAAATATTAAGGTCACACATAATATTATAATTGTGTTATACATAATTAATTTTTTATCTTAAGTTATATAATAAAATATAATTTTTTATATTGTTTAAGTTAACTTATTTACACATTATATAATTTAAATTTAAAATTTTTTGTTTACATAAAAAATATCAACACATATATTAATTTTATATTATTAAATAATAATTATCAATAATAATTTTAATATTCTCAATGCTCAAAGTAAAACAAGTAAAATATTTTTGTATGGCTTCAATA